CAGCTTCTCCTAAGGGAGGTTGTGGAAGATGCTGGGTGTACTAGTCAGGGTTCTTAGTTGAAGGCAGTCCCATCCATCTCTTTCTCAGTGCCTTAGACAAAGGACTTCATTAGAGGTGACACATCCCTGAAGGAAGCCTGGTGGCCTAGACTTGGATGACAGTGGAAACCAAGGCAATCAGGAAGGCCAGGAAGCTGAGAGACAAGTATATTTTCAGCAGCAGCAGCAGCAGCAACAACCTCAGGGAATGCCATCTGCTGCCACTGGGGAGCTCTGTCTGATCCAGATTCAATCCCGAGAAAAACATCTGATCAGCCAGGCCTAAGCCCAGGCCAATGCCAGCAGATGTAGAGTCATTCACCTTAGCTTTCACTGTGGAAAAGGCATTGCACCAGCCCTACACACAGTGGTGATTTTCCCTGATTACTACTATGGGGTTGTATGCTGAGCTGGAGGCACGTCTAAAGGGGCATGTCCAGTACACTTGGGTCAGGGAAAGGTGACTCTAAAGGATGCCAGAGATACTGGCTGCAGATTAGCACAGGTCTGGCCTTAATGGCGGCCATGGAGGAGCCACAAGAATGTGTCCTGCTTCTTACTAATAGACTAACGTGGCATAGAGGATTAGAAGAAGGTGACTGTCCCAGCCCTCTTTACCTCCTTTCTCTCTGTTTAGCCTCTGATCTCATCTTGAGAGAACACACGAGGTTGGTGGAAAGGCTGACTGGAGAGGGAGTCTGGGTAATTAAAACCCATACCTAGAGCTAAATATTGGTTTATGGATATCTAGTGAACATCTTTATATTCAAAGGGCTATCAGTGGGAAGATACTTCTTCAAGAGAGTTTGGTCTTTCTCTTTCTTTCTCTCTCTCTCTCTCTTTCATTTTTTAAAATAGAGATTGACTCTTGCTCTGTCACTTAGATTGGAGTACAATGGTGTGATTATAGTTCACTGTAACTTTGAACTCCTAGGCTCATGCAACCCCCAAATAGCTAGGAACACAGGCACACACTACCACATCTAGCTGAGTTTTTGATTTTTAATTTTTTTGCCATGTTTCCCAGGCTAATCTTGAACTTCTGGCCTCAAGTGACCTTCCTGCCTCAGCCTCCCAATGTGTTGGGATTATAGGCATGAGCCACCACACCCATTCTGAATTTGGCTTTTTAAAATATGCTGGGTTTTTTCCTTCCAAAAGGTTATGAACTTTTTAATCATGATGAAGTCTGAAACTGTATATAGTCTTTCTTTCATTTACTTATTTTTTTGAGTTTGAAAGCACAAGCTTGACTCAAGTAAATTTAGGAGATTAAACTTAAACATCATAAGAGAAATAATAGACAGCTCTAGCATGAAGTTCAGGATAAGCCATAGATTAAAATGTTTAAAGGTTAAAAGTCAATGAAGCCAAGAAGGAGGCTCCTTTTTTTTTTTTTGAGTCGGAGCTCACTCTGTCACCCAGGCTGTAGTGCAGTGGCATGCTCACAGCCACCGCAACCTCGAACTGCTTTGCTCAAGTGATCCTTCTGCCTCAGTCTTCCAAGTAGCCAGAACTACAGGCATGCACCACCATGCCCAGCTAATTTTTTATTTATTTATTTATTGTAGAGATGAGGTCTCGCAATGTTGCCCAGGCTGGTCTCAAATCTGTGGGTTCGGGTAATCCTCTCGCCTCTGCCTTTCAAGTGCTGGGATTATAGGCGTGAGCCACTGCACCCAGCCCAGAAGGAAACTTCTTAATGGTTTTTGTTTTTTGAGATATAATTCACATGCCATACAATCCACCCATTTAATGTGTGCAATTCAACATTTTTTAGTGTACTCACAAAGCTGTGCAACCAATACCAAATTTTTAAAAACGTTCACCATCTCAAAAAGAAACCTGGTACCCATTACAAGTCACTTTCCATTTTCCCCCATCCCCATCTCACCCCCTAAGGAAGTACTGCTAACCTATATTCTATCTCTCCTGGATATTTTTACATAAATGAAATCATACAAATCCATCAATATGTGGCCTTTTGTGTCTGGCTTCTTTCAATTAGCATAACAATTTCAAGGGTCATCGTGTTGTAGCATGAATCCTTTCAAGTTTCTTGAATCTACACCTAGGAATAGAATTGGGAGGCCTTACAGTGACTGTATATTTGAACTCTCCTGGAACTGCCACATTGTTTTTCATGGCAGCGGCACCACTTCATATTCCCACCAGTAATGTTTGAGGGGTTTTCTTCACATCCTGCCAACATCTATCTTTTTTATTATAGCTATTCTAGTGAGTGTGAGGGGAACCTTTGGATGTGGGTTTGATTTCCATGTCTCTCACGGCTAGTGATGCTGAGCATCTTTTTATGTGCTTATTGGCCATTTCTATATCTTCTTTGATAAAATGCCCATTCGGATCCTTTGCTAACATCAAAATCAGGTTGTTATTTTATTACTAAGCTGTAAGTATTCTTTTACCTTCTAAATATAAGTCTCTTATCAGATATATGACCTTCAAATATTTTCTTTCATTCTACGGGTTGTCTTTTCACTTTCTTGATGGTGTCCGATTTGCTTTTTTTCTTTTTTTTCCTTTTCTTTTCTTTTTTGGTTACTTGTCCTTTGATTCTATATCAAAAAAGAAGGCTTTTACCTACCAACATCATGAAGATTTTAATCCTATATTTTTTTTCTAAGAGTTTTATAATTTTAACCCTTATATTTAGGTCTGTGCTTTGTTTTAATGTTTGTGTTTGGTGTGAAGAAGGTGTCCTGGATGGTTTTGAAGTTGCAATAATTGACATTTGATGGCAGCACATGAAGAAAGAGTGAATAATGTAGATGTATTGTTTTTCTCAGTTTGGACTACATTTTCCAGGAGGTGGTCCTCAACTTCTGAGTTCTTTTCATCTCCCTTTAAACATTTTTGGCTGTTAGTTATCAAAGTTAATATGATTTTCAACAGATCTTGATTGTTTAGAGTGGTAACCCTTATGCAACTATTATAAGATACATGTATGTGTGTGTGTGTGTGTGTGTGTGTGTGTGTGTGTGTGTGTGTGTGTGTGTATATATATATTTAAAGATGTGGGATACAATTCAGGGTTAGGTATGCAAATGTTCATTATGCAGGTACCCTTGTTGATGAGGTGTGCCCCTCCTTCCCCTGGCAGTTTCCCACTACTTTCCATACCTTTCTTATAGTATTATGATAATTGTCCAAGGTCCAATTATGAGTGAGAACATATAGTTCTCTGTTCTTTGTTTCTGCGATAGATCACTGAATATGATAGACTTTAAATCCATCCAAGTTGCTGTGAAGTCCATATGTTTATCCTTCTTTATGACTACATAATATTCCATTGTGTATATGTACCACATTTTTTATCCAGTCCAGCTTTGATGGGCAGCATGGTTAGTTCCATGATTTTGCTATTGTGAATAGAGCTGCAACAAACATGCATGTGCAGGTGTCTTTTTTGTAGAATGATTTGAGTTCCTCTGGGTATATTCCTAATAGGAGGACTGCTGGGTCATATGGAAGGTCAATTTCTAGTTCTTTCAGAAATCACCACACTCTCTTCCAAAGAGGTTACACTAGTTTGCATTCCTACTAGCGGTATAGAAGCGTTCTTTTTTCTCCACATCCTCACCAGCATCTATTTTTGTTTTTTTATTAATGATGGCCATTCTTATTGGGGTTAGGTGGTATCTCAATGTGGTTTGATTTGTATTTCTCTGATGATTAGTGAAGCTGAGCACTTTTTCATGTGTCTGTTGGCTGCCCATATATCTTCTTTTGAAAAGTATCTATTTAAGTCTTTTGTCCACTTTTTAACAGGGCTGTTTGTTTTTTTCTTTTTGGCACGCTTGAGTTCCTTGCAGATCTTAGATGTTAGGCCTTTGTCAGATATATATTTGGCAGATATTTTTTCTCATTCTGTGGGCTGTCTCCCTGCTTTCTTGATGGTTTCTTTTGCTTTGCAGAAACTCGTCAGTTTGATGAGGTCCCACTTGTCTATCTTATTTCCTATGATAGCCTCAACTGGTTTCTAAAGTATGTAGGAAGTTTGAACTTTAATTGGAGTTTGACTCAAAGGCTTGTGCCTGCTCCTGTTCTGCTTTGTATCTAAGTGTGTACTTCAAAATAGATTTCTCTTAATTTTCTCTGTTGGTCAGTTATTTCAGATGGCTCAGGCAGTGAAACATGAATCCTTATCAAATGGGCTGTCAAATTTGGTTAATTCTTCCTTCCTAACAACTCTGTCGTCAGTTCTCCCTGCCCCTTCCCTATCCAGAGCCATGTCAGTCTTGACTCAGTTGTAAGCTCCCTGAAGTCCAGGGTCACCCTTCTGCCCCTTTCCTTTCTGTAGCCCTGAAGCCTATCAGAAAAGAAGTATTCACTAACTCTTTGTTGATTATCCTTGCTCTACCATATTACACAATTTTGCAACTGTATACATGGGACTTACCCCTCTCTCTTAGGGAAGAGATTCTAGTGAAAGGTTAATTCATGGAAAAGGAGGCAACCTTTTCCCATAGTCTTGCAGGTATGGATGCAACTGGGTCAGCATTGCTTTAAGTGAGCACTTCTCTAAACAATGGGTATGAGGGGAGATAAGGCAGGGAATTATCTCACCAGGGTTCAATTCTTGGTTTTGGTTTGGTGTGGACTTCTATGGAGGGTATTTGAGTCCACATTTTGCAATTCTTTCACATCTGAAGTCAGAAATTTGTCACTTCAGCGTTCCCTTGGCTGGTCCTACCCTTTGACCCAGTCGTCTTATTCTCCCGGGCCCTTCACCCTCCTCCCAACACATGTGTTCTTTAACCTTCAGTCGCTTGAGTTTTCTGTTTTCTGCTCAGTCTCACTTCTCTCTTGAACTCCATTTATTGGCTCCCATGAGTCACATTATTAGTAGCATCTTCAGCTCCCTCCAGTCACCACTGTTCTAGCCAAGCCTTCTGACTTCCAACCACATCTCTTGCTGTGCGCTCCTAATTGCTCTCCATGTCACTGCCAGGAGAGCGGCTGGGTGTGTGCCTGGGTGGAGATGAAGGAGAGTGGGAGTTGAAATAAGTCCCCATTCCCCTGGGTTAAGAGTGCTGCCTGCCCAGAGACAATGCCTTCATCAGATTGGCACAATCCACCACATGGGCTCACAGAGGACTTGGCTGCCAAAACAACCCTTCTAGACGATCTATTTTATTCCTCTGCATAATACCCTTCAGTGGGTCCTGTTAGCTAAAGTCCAAGCTCTTTAGCATAGAAAGCAAGCAGACCTTCAAAAACCTAGCCTGCCAGTCTCACCAGCCTTTTGATGAGAATGACCATGTGGTTTATTGTCCAAACTGGAGAATGTCTGAAAGGAAGAAAGAGCTAATAATAATTAGTCCAGAACAATAAGCAGAGACTGTCTGTAACCCACCATTCCACACCTTGGATTCTTTCACTGGGGTGGCACCAAACTGCTGGGAGTTTTCTATGTACAAAGGGGGACCTAAAAAAATTGAAATTACTTTTTGGAGGGCAGGCTTATTGTAGTACAGGCTTCCCCTGCTAGGTAAGTGTTCTAGGGACCCAGCGGCATCAGTGTACCTCCTAGTGTTATTGTGAGAAGCTGTGTTCAGCTTCAGTGAATTTTTATTGGAGATTCTTTCAGCAGATTTGCCAGTTTCATGATGGGTGATTTATGAGCACATTTGTTCACACTGTATGGAGTGTTCAGCAATTTTTGACCAAAAACATCATGACCCCTGTGCCCCATCCTTCCTATTCACCTGATCTCATCCCAAGCAACTTTTTTTTTTGTTTCCCTGGATTAAAAAAAGTCCTCAAAGGGTAATGTTTTGCTGTTGTGGAAGAGGTAAAAGAAAAAAACAGCAGAAACACTAAAAGGTATCAGAATTGCTCAGTTCAAAAACTGTTTTGAGCAGTGGGAAAAGCATCTTGATAGGTGTGTTGCAACAGACAGAGAGTACATTGAAGGTGACTAAATTGTAAACATGTAAGAATAAATGCACAATTTTTTAATAAATAAATTCTGGTTGTTTTGGGGTCCCCTCTTGTACATCTTTTTTCCAGATCAAGAGGTTTTGAGAGAGAATTTTTTTTGACCACTCTGTTGTGAATCTGAGGACATTTTGACCCCTTTTTCTGATTAAATATTAAAAGATGAAATCAAAGGTCAAAATGTCATGCCAAAATGATCATAGCCTAAACAATAAGATTAAAACATACAATTCTGTTATTCTATGCTTCTGGTTACTTGGTCATAGTCCTTTTTCTCCCTAAAACTTCTATTGTCTCTTCCCCATTTTTCTGCCTTTCCCTGGATTATTTCCACTAATTGTTCAAGATCTCTTAAGGACTATCTGTTCCAATTATCTTTCCCTGACACTTATTGACTGGGCTCAGTGCCCATCATCTTGTCCCCATGATACCCTGTATATACATTTTTCATTGTACCTAAAAAAAGTGCCAAAGTCACCTGTTCAGGCCTGCCTTGCCTATTAAGTCCTTAAGGCAGAAACCCTGTTTTATGAATCTTTTTGTTTTCAGGGCCTAGCAAGGACCTCACAAATAATAGAATCTCAATAAATATTTCTTGACATGGATTAATTTGAGCCTCTTATTGTAATATGAGGTTAAATGTACCTGTCTTTCTTCTCCCAGGGAATTTCTTAGGGTACTAGTAAAGATTTACAAGGGGGGGACTCCCAAACAACTGGAATTTATTTAGAAAAAAATGCATATTTATTCTTCAGTCACCTTCAAAGTACTCTCCATTTGATCCAATACACCTAACAAGATGCTTTTTTTGCAGCTCAAAACAGTTTTTGAACTGGCCAATTTTGGTGCCTTTTAGTGCTTCTGCCATTTTTTTCCACCTCTTTCACATCAACAAAACGTTTCACTTTGAGGACCTCTTTCATCTGGGGGGAAAAAAAAGCCACTTGGGGAGATTGGGCGAATAGGGAGGGTGGAGCATGGGGCTCATGCTGTTTTTGGTCAAAAACTGAACATTCAGCATGCTATGGGCAGGTGGGCTGATAAAGCATCCATCATGAAATGGATAAACACATTGAAAGAATATTTTAAAAAATTCATTAAAGCTGATCACTGCCTCTAACAACAGTACTAGCTGACATACTGATGCTGATGGGTTCCTAGGATACTTACCTAGGGGAGGATCCTGTATCACAAGGGACCTATTCTCTAAAAAAGTAATTCCAGGTTTTCTGTGTCCCCTCTCATATATATACTCAGAGCTTTCAGAAGGTTGACTTTTGTCATGTAGCGTCTATTTCTTACTTTTTATGCCATAGAATCATAAAACAGGAACATACATACCCATGATACTCAAATATGTCCTGCCAAAATTGTGAACAGCAGTGTGTTAAACTTCACTTTGCCATGCCATAACCAAAATTGTTCTGAGAGTTTTGGAAGTGTAATTCTTGTTTAATGCAATGAAGGATCATGCAATACACTAAATTATAGCATTCCATTCTCACCTTGTTTCCAGAATTCTCTGATGTAGTTCTTTGAATGAAGGCGCTCAATACTCAGTGTTATCCCAATTTCAAGTGTTTGTTTTACAAGTCTAATGGATTCTTTTTTCATTTCTCTAGAATGTTTCAGACATTTAAAGAATGGTTCTGGTTGGAAAGATTCTGGCTTCCTCCATCAATAATGTGGTCAGATCTTGAAGATCACGATGGACTCATCTTTGTAAAACCTTCACATTTATATATGACTATTCCATGTACTTTTCTCCTGCTGATTATCAGACGTTTATTTGAAAAGTAAGTAGTATTTGTGTGTCTTCCCTTCCCATTGCCCCTCTTTGCTCCAGTGCTAGAAGAACAAAGTATTAGACTTGGTAAGTCCTTTAAAGAATCTAGTGTTCAGTGAGTGTCACTAATGGGCTACAGATTCTTAGGAGGAATTAATGAAGTTAGACATACTCCAAAGTTATCTAGAGACTGAACAAGAAAACATTAGAAGCATGGACCCCACTGAGTGCTTTAGTGAAGAAAATTGAGATTAAGAGAAGTTAAGAACCACAGAGTTTATCAGTGTCAATGACAATCTGGGAACCCAGTTCATCGCCTATTCCTCTGTGGTGTCTGGCAACGTTATGCATCCCAGATAGGCAGTGCTAGAAGAGTCTACAACTCGGGATGCATTATCATTCTAGAATGCCTACAAAATTACAAAAATGGCATATTAAAGACCTGACCAAATACTTCTGTATAGCATAGTTTATTTTAAGGGTTTATTTAAAAGCTTAATAGCTGCCCTTCATTCCAAAGTATCGGAAAATCAAAGAAAAAATATCAATTTGCTTTTTCAGAAAAAGTAAACTTTTTCTTTTTCTTGATTTAATTTAAATAGATATGATTTCTAAACTTTTTATTAAAATTGTACTAGTGTTATGATAACAGTAGATAAATGTTCATCTATAATCTCTGTAGTTGTCTTTTTTTCAAAAAACTGTTATTAGCACATTAATTCTTTTGAAGCAAAAAGAATATTCAAATGTCAAGAGTTGGAAAAACTTAAGAAAAAAAATCTGATAAAGATCATTTTGTCCAAGACTAACTGTAATGCAGATCATATGTTTATAACCATTTGCAGGGTGCTTATCTCAAGAGTTAGTTTGACCAACTCTGTTTCATGAACTCTCCAAAAGGTTTTTGCATAAACAACAACTTCACTTGGGCCAACAATGTGCTATGACTATTGGGAGGAAGAGAAAGTTCCCGAATACCACTAAACCCTGGCTGAGAACATTTGAAATGTACTTCCTTTTTGATAGTTAATTCTACTTTTTCTCACGTATTTCAATTTGTCAAAGAATACATAAATAAATAAAGTAGAATTTGCCACTGCACTTCAAAATTCGTGAATTACTCTTTACCATCCTGAAACATTAGCTTTTCTTACATTGCATCGGGTGATCTCTGAATTTGGCAGCAAGGACCATTACTTATTTCCATTGCAGATTTCCTACTTTTCAGTGGACAGCTCCATTATTCACAATTTGGCCAGGATGGTGAGCCAGAACATTCTTCTGGTTGCCAAGGAAGCACAGCTGTGGAGGACCAGCTTGTTATGTCTCGGTCTTGGCCTCCACGGCAATAATCAGGAAGGAATCCAATCCTCTGTTAATTCCTAGGATCATTGTTGCTTCTTCTCAAGGGATTAAGCATAGTTTGTATCTTCTTTTCTATCTCCTTAAAACTTAACCCCCTGTAAGTCACCCTTAGTCTTTTCCATTGTGACACTACAGGAAACTGTGTGTTGCTTCACTAGTCTTATATTTCTTTTAATGCATTAGAAGGAAGGAAAATTTTGAAGAAATCTTTTTGAAGCATAAGTTTATATTTTTTCTAGAACATCTATATTATTTGTAGTAGGTTGAGCCACTTATATCACAAATAAAATATTACTTATACTTTGCATTTGAGTAGGAATGTGTCCCCTCTCATATATATACTCAGAGCTTTCAGAAGGTTGACTTTTGGCATGTAGCACCTATTTCTTACTTTTTATGCCATAGAATCATAAAACAGGAAAATACATACCCATGATATTCAATTATGTCCTGTCAAAATTGGGAACAGCAGTGTGTTAAACTTCACTTTGCCATGCCATAACCAAAATTGTTCTGAGAGTTTTGGAAGTGTAATTCTTGTTTACAATCAGAAGGTCACCTTTTTATGTATAGTTTAAAAGGTATATAAAATCACAAGTTGTGTGATCTCAGTCTGCAGGTAAGGAAATGAGAGGTCAATGTCCTGGCCGAGGTCACACGATTAGCATGTAAGAGGATGAATCTGGGAATTGAACCCACATACTATGACATCAGGTTCAGAGGTGTTGGTTTTTTATGTTCTTACTCTATCAGTACTTCTTGGACTTTCACATTGAGAAACTGATGGCAGAGGGGAGTAAATGCATATCTCTTGGGAATACAGAAGGCATAGCTTAAAGAGAGGATAGCAAATGTAAAATTTTATGAATTGTCTTAAAATTTATGTAAATTTGACACTATGTTTCAACATATCCTATGATATATTTATTATAAGAAAGTATTCTCCTTTGTGCTAGACTGTATTTATGCTACATCCTATTCTGTGAAGTGACAGGAGTTGTGATGTGGCTGGCTCATTTTTTTCCTTTAATACTAGGCAAGAGCCATTTAAGATCAGGAAACAATGTCTCTTCCTAGAAAAGTAAAAATGTAGTGACAGATCAGATAAGAAACAAAGAAGATAGTCTGAAAGTGACTGACATTTGCTTTGTATTTAGGATTGCCTTTTTTTGACAATTTTAGTTTATGACTTTTGTTTTAATTTTTTTCCTTCTTGGTCCTGACTAGCAGTTCTAATTAGTTTATCTTCTATGCATTCTTTTATGTGTCAGAAGTCTGACTTAAGGGAGATCTAAACTACTCAAATATCAACATTTGTGCAATAAACACATTAGCTCAGAGTAAATTATGGTTCCAGAGGCACCCAAGGCAGGAGTGGAGGTAGTACAATTAGAAGTTCACCTTTTTATGTTTCTGTTACTTAATTATACAATGAATAGATTCCCACCCCTACCATTTCTACTCAGCAGAATAAGGTCATTATGGGATAGTATGTCCACTATTCTTTTTTTTTTTTTTTTTTTGAGTTGGAGTCTTCTTTAAGAAGTGTAGGGGCCGGGCTCAGCTCAGTGTAGGGCCCAGGCTCGGGTTCGAGACCAGGCAGGGCAACTTGGTGAGACCTGTCTCTACAATAAATCAAAAATTAGCCGGGTGTGCTAATGTGCACCTGTAGCTCGGCTACTTTGAAGGCTGAAGCGAAAGGCCGGAGCCCAACGGGTTGACACTGGGGTGATCATGAGTGTGCCACTGCACTCCAGTCTGGGCGACAGAGTGAGACTCCAACACACACACAAAAATAAAGTGTAGGATAGGTGGAGTAACCCATCTGTAGCAATTTACAGCAGTTGAAAAAGGATTGTCTCTAACTGTCCTAAATGGAAATAGTATAGACACTATTAGACTTAAGTTTTATCTGAGATTTGCATTGCTCCACATATTCTGTTCTCACATTAAAAACCTTCTGAAAGCCGGGCTCGGTGGCTCAGCCTGTAGTCCCATGCCTTTGGGAGGCTGAGGTGAGTGGATTGCCTGAGCCCGCGGTTTCGAGACCCGCCTGGGCAGTGAGACCTCATCTCTACAATAAAACAAAAAATCAGCCGGGCATGGTAGCGCATGCCTGTAATTCCGGCTACTTGGAAGGCTGAGGCGGAAGGATCGCTGGAGCCCAGCAGGTCGAGGCTGCGGTGGCCGGGAGCGGCCACTACACTCCAGTCTGGGCGACAGAGTGAAACTCCAACTCAAAAAAAAAAACCTTCTGAAAAATTGCTCACAGAAACTTGAACCCTTAGGAACTGTGATTCAATTTTATGCCAATAGGCTATTGTATCTATTTAGGAGAAATATTTAAACTTAACATGCTTAATATCTGCCTAGGGAAACATTCCTTTTGTTCTATAAAAAATATTGAAAATAAAGGAGGAATCTGGGATTTCTAGACTTTTGGCTCCCAGGTAAGTGATGGAGTGCTAGTCAAAGAGGGGCCTGTCTAGGTGTCTGAATGGGCCTGTCCAGAGGCCCAGTTCTGCAGTAGTAGCAAACCTAAGGGACTCATTCTCTGGTAATTAACCTAACTTTGAACCTTTTACAGGGGAACAGAAGTTTACTATTCTTTTTTCTTTTCTTCCTCTTGGACTTTTTTTTTTCCTATTCCATATCAGTAAAATGAAAGCTAATCTCTAAAGTTCTTTCTAGGGCTGAGACTCAAACTCTTCATTTTCTTTTTAGTTCATTGTAGCAAATATTTATTGTATGTCTTTCTTCTCTCCTTTTTCAAAATAGATTTCTATTAATTGCCTATTTATATTTACCTACATTGATATTAGGTAAGGTGATTGATTTCTTAGATTTATTTGAAAAGGTAAGAGAGTTGAAGTAGACAACTATGTATATATGTCCTCTGTTCCATTAAAATGTTATTTATGTCCTTGAAGTGAGCACAAAGGACCATATTTCTTCTTCATTTAAATTAATGATTCTAATATGTATTTATTACTTATATCAGCAAGTATGCTACAGATATGTGTGTTTATCCTCATGTGTATACTTATCCATATACTTAATTCTCACATGACTTTCTGAGAAGAATGTTATGTTTTATTTGGCTTTAAGATTAGTTTTATTCCCTTACTGCATAAATCATCTTTGATTCAATTCAACTTTATTTTTAAATTTTTCCTAATTTCTGCATTTCTGACATTTGAGGAGATAGCACTGAGTGAATATAATGGGAAACACTATTATATGAAACTGTTAATATTTATTTTCTTCTATTAGTAAAAAGAGTAGACTTTTTTCCACTAAAATTTTTCAGCTAGTAGGTTTGATAAATGAACCAATTCTATTACTAATCCAAAACCCTGTTGAATGTATTTTTTTTTTGTTTTGAGATTTAGTTAATTTTAAGCATACCCTAGGTGGGGGGGGGGGAATGTGGGCCTTTATTCAAAGGGGGATTTAATTAATCATATTTCTCAAATCATAGCACACTGTGTTTGGTCTACATAAGAGTACTTTTGAGTGACAGAGTTGAATTACTTTTTCATTAATTACCTTTTAACCCCATCCCCTATTCAAAAAATCAGCTGGGCGTGGTGGCGCATGCCTGTAATTCCGGCTACTCGGAAGGCTGAGGCGGAAGGATCGCCAGAGCCCAGCAGGTTGAGGCTGCGGTGGCCGGAAGCGGCCACTGCACTCCAGTCTGGGTGACACAGTGAGACTCCAACTCAAAAAAATAAAAAATAAAAATAAAAAAATAAAAATAAAAATAGGCAAAATATTTAAACAAATACTTAATCAAAGAAGACATAAAATGGAAAATAAGCACATGAGAAGGTGTTCAACATAATTAGTCATTAAGAAAGTGCAAATTAAAATCACAATGCACAATCTAATAGAAACAATGCATTAACAAAAATGTCAAAGTAGGACCTCTGAAAGTTTTTTCTTCCATAAAAGTAAACTAGCAAAAATTGTTGGAATTAACTTTTACAGAATTCAGAATTAGCCAAAGGTTTGCAGTAATCTAGGGACTGTTATTTAAAAAGCAAAAGCAAAAACAAAGCCAGCTGAATTTTGGAAAGAATAACAAATTTTGTGGCATTTTTAGCTTTCTGCTTTCCTGTCTTATCTTCTCCACCTGAGTGATAACTTTGAAAAACCAACCACCTGTAATTACTGTGGAAACTAGCAGCCTAGCAGCCACTGAAGGGAGCAGAATGGAGCTGGAGTTCCTTCAAAGCTCAATACCACAGAATTACTATTACCTGACCTGTCTGGTGGTTCTCTGGAAGACACTACTCACAAGGCTGTGCTCACCCAGTGAAAAAGCCTTTTCATGAGGGTATTTGTCTAAAACAATTAGAGACAATTGCTTAACTTCACAACTGCCCAAGGCAGTGAATAACAATTGGGTCAAACAATAAACCAACCAAAAAGCTTAAAAGGAAATACTGGGAAATTAGATGTCCATAGGGAGCTTTGAAAGGCTCTCACATGTTCTTGGAAAATCTAAAAGGATATATATATATATATGAATTTGTACATATCAAGTGCCATCTTCATGCTCAAGAAAGACCTGGGAAAGCCCTAATTGCTCACCTCTGGATGACCTTATGGCTGTGTGTGAACACAAAGGGAAAGCTAAGACAGAATTGTATATTACCTTGCTAAATGTTGAAGGTGAGCCCCAACATGTGCACAGATTCCCTCAGGAAAGACGGAGAGATGTATTGGTTCCAGGCATTTAAGGAGATCTCTGCCTAAACATTAGCTAACCACTAAGCTAATCTAATAGAAACTCACACATCACAATTTTTAGAGATATTTAGAGTTGCCACATTATAGTACATGTCCAGTGATCAATAAAAATTTAAGGAGATATTCAGAAAAAAAAAAAAGGAAGCATGGCTCATACACAGAAAACATAAATGTTCCTCAGAAAGCTTATATATTGTACTCATCAGACAAAAATACTTGCATGCAAACATACACATAATGGGAATTCCTAAAGGAGAGGAGAGAATAAACAGAACGGAAAACATATATGAATAAATAAATGACCGAAATTTTCCTAAATTTGATGAAAAGTGTGAATCTATACATCTAAAAAACTAAATAAACTCCATAAACTTAAAAAGAACCACACTCAGCTATATCATAATCAAATTGTTAAAATCCAAAAACAAAGAGAGAATATTGAAGGCAGCAGAGAGGAACAACTCATCAGATACAAGTGATTCTCAACATGATTAGGAATTGATTTCTCTTATCCCACATCTTTAACATAAAATTATTTTAAAAATTCTATACAATCTCATCAGAAATTATGGAGACCAAAATCAGTGGGATGATATAAAAAGTGCTGAAAGAAAACCACTGTGAACCAAGCAAGACTATCCTTCAAAATGAAAGAGAAAGTAAGACATTCTCAAATAAACAAACCCAAGAGAATTAATTACTAGTAGACCCAGCATGTAAGAAATATGAAAGGTAGTCTTCCAGATTGAAATGAGAGTACACAAGACAGGAACTCAAATCCTCATGAAGAAACAAAAAGCACCAGTAAAGGTAACTACATAAGATACTAAAATTATAGTATGACTGTATTTTTCTGCTTGTAACACGTTTTTTTCCCATCTGATTTAATAGACAATTGCATAACACAATAATAAAAAATCTGTATTTATCAGAACACAGCTTATAAAGATGTAATTTGTGATGACAACACAAAGAAAGAGAAATGGAGTTTTTGTATCCTATTGAAATTAATTTTATATTAATCTAAATTGGGATGTTATAGATTAAGATGTTAATTGCAATCCCCAAGTCAATCACTAGCAAAGTGACTTAAAAATAGTTTTTAAAAAATTGGCAAGGGAACTAAAATGGTATATACTACAATACCTATTTAAGACAAATGACAGTAGTAATGCATTAATAAAGAAACTAAAAGGTGTAAGATACATAGAAGACAAGTCGAATGGCACACAAAAATCTTGTTTTATCAGTAATTACTTTAAATGTAAATGGGTTAAACTCTCCAATTAAAGGGTACAGATAGAAAGAATAGATAGAGAAACATGATTCATACTATATGTTGTCTACAAGAGACACACTTTAGGTTTAAAGGCACAAATAGGTTAAAAGTAAAAGAATGGAAAAAAGATATACCATGCAAACAGTGGCCAAAAGAAAACTGGAGTGGTTATACTAATATCAGACTAAATAGAATTTAATAGGTTTTAAAACTGTTACTAGAAACAAAAGATATTTTTTAATAATAAAAGGATTTACTATCAAGAAGATACAACAATTATATGCGCATATGTACTTAGCAACAGAATTCCAAAATACATGAAGCAAAAATGGACAGAATTGAAGGAAGAAATGCAAACAAAGTTCAGTTTATATTAATTTCTAGGTCTTGTATATAAATATATTTGGGTTAGCATAAAATGATTTTTAGAATTATCCCAATGTTTTATTTCATTTTTAAAAATTATTGCTTATATGTAAGGTCTGAAAATGTTCTTTCCTTGAACTTCTGAGAGGTAGATGTTGGGTATAGGTAGCTCCAGTGACAACATGAACAAATGATTGATCTTTCATTGGGGACCTAATGTTACAGTTAAAGTTCTCTGGTGTCAGTGTGGATTTATTCTCAGGTTTTGAACTTACTTTCTTTTCACATTTTTGTAGATTTGTTGCTACACCTCTAGCAAACACATTTGGCATTAAAAAGACAGCTCGAAAGATTACACCGAATACTGTCTTAGAGAATTTTTTCAAGCATACTACAAGGCGGCCCTTGCAAGTAAGTACAAGTTCTTTGCTTTTGGATTTAAAAATTTCCTTTCCTAATGGTTCAGTCATCTATGGCTTACCTTGATTGTGCTTTTACAATATATAATAAAAAATTTTGATAGCCGAACTGTTGTGTTCAAATATAGAGTTGAGCACTAACCATCAATACCATGATTTGGGTGCAGAAACAAAATTTAATTTTTAATGGTAGGAAACATACAAACTATATACATTTCTGTTGAAGAAATTTCATTGTTAGGGTGGAGAAGTTCATATCTGACATTTTTATGAGTGTCGCACCATCAGAATACTTTAGACACATTATGATGGAATCCACTGGAGTCGCTTTCATGAGCAGATTCTTATTTACTCATGGCCTCAGCATACTCAGAAATATGCTGTGAGAATTTTTAAAAGGATCATGGTTCTCTTAACAATACAAAGTGTCCTTTATTAATGTTGTAGTACACTGCATGTTCAAATGTAGTACATTTGTTGTAGTGCATGTTCAATAGAAAAGTTTTTTCATATAAAAGTTGAAAAAAATAGTGTCCAAGTAAGTCTAGTATTCACTCTAGTTTTGTTATATTTCCACAGTTAAAATGTCAGATGAGACAAAACTTCTCCAAAAGTGGCACAACCTCTGTGATGAGTACAGATGACTATTACCAGTCATTTTAAAAATGAAGAGTATGTGCTGACACAGTTTCTGGACAGATCAATGGTTGAAAGGCCTGAGCTTTATTTGCTGAGTTAAGTTGCACCTACCATAACCATAGCTGCCATCGCTCTCTGTCCATGACAGCACATGAGGTCTGACCACACAGCACGAGGCATAAGTGTCCAGAATTTTTCTGTCTGACCAGAGCTGTCTCTAACTCATTCTACCCTCAGCTTCTGTATTGACAACTTTTCTGAAACAGGAACTATAGGATGAGCCATCTTCATATGTTTTTTATACCCACATAATCTAAGTGACTACAGTTATTCATCTAAATACTTTTGTTACCACTGGTGATCATAGTGCCTAAGCATTATGGTTTTATAGGTTTTAAAGGGAAATTATTTAGCTGTGTTTATGAAAAATTAGGGCTCTTTCAGGGGGTCCTTATCTTTCTCTGTTTGGGAATAGCTACTTTGGTAACCTTGGATACAATGTGAAAAACAGTACTATCCTATCAATTATTTGTTGACTTACTATTACCAAGAGCTTCAAGTCAGCTTTTCAGGATACTTAAAATAATCTAGAAAATTCGGTTCTTACCAAGTTTCCTGCTATCAAGAGAAAATGGCCACATGAAAGTTAAAGGAAACCTAAGAAAAACGGAAAGAACTTTAGAGGGTAGATCACCCATCTTCTTCCTGACTGACATGAGGACTAAGGCCCAACAAGAGGAAAACAAGCTGTCATGAGGCAATTAGTGGCTAAATCAAAAGTGGAAACCTGGCACATACTCTCAGTCCAGTGCTCTTTCTACTATACCCCAGTGACTCTTTTTAAATTTTAATAGAATGTTAAAAATATATTTTAAAGGTTGGACCTGTGATTATTGTAATTGTTCTAACTCAACTGACATTATGGTATGGCTTAATGTCTACATAATTTGGACATTTGCATCAAGTAATAGTAAAAGAAGTTATACATCTCTCCCAGAGTGTTAGAAACCTTCATATGCTGAACCAAGAAGTTGAAGGAAAATAAGATTTCTAAGTTATATTGCTCTTAGATTACAAAACAGAGGTAGTATTTGTATAGCAGATCAAGATCAGTAAAATGCCCAAAGTATAAAAGTACTAGAACTTAGGAGGATAGAATATAACAGAGGAGGACAGAGTTCATGATTTGGTAGTAATTTCAGATGTGGAAACAAACTCATCTCACAATACTGCCACACATTGACTTGGCCAATGTCACACACATAGCATTTTGCTTCATTTATAGCTGAGGTAATAAGGCAAGTTGCTGGGTGGATGGGAAAAAGTTTTGTGCTGACTCAAGCTATGGGTATCACCACTAAAAGAGAAGTAATCCAAACCTATGACAGCAGAGCGTTGCGTTGGTAATACATGTGGATAACACCTGACTTTTTAAAAATAGTTGAGTACGTGGAGCCAAGGATGCTTCTTCAACTGCTATAGATTGCATCAATAGAGCATTTCATTGTGTATGATGTTGACTGTGGGCTGGTGAGCACAGAAGGGCATCACATGGTATTGATGAGGCCTAAGTACAATTTACATGAACATCCAGTGACAGCTCCAGTCTATGAATTTTCACAATTCTCTTGTGATTGGGTCTGTGCAGCTGTGTATCTATTACGTATGTGTGTATCAATAACAGCTTCAAGATGTTTGGGGAGAGAGCTATAATAGCAGACCAGCAGCTCTGACCAACAGATCAATTACTCTGCTGTTGATAAAATGTAGTAACAGTAAAACTTATTATCTAGCTCTTTCCCTCAGGGAAAAAAAAACAAAAACAAAAACAAAACATGACGAGAACTGATGCAGAACAACTAAGTTCTGGAAGAGATCTAAAAAAAACCAGCACTTTCAGATGGACCTCAAGCCAGTTGTGGTCAATAAGGTCATTCTAGTTTGCTAGCTTGACTCATCCACACATCAAACTTTTTTAGAGCAAAAACCTCCTCTAGTGCAGTTTATTTTATAGGTGAGATGCATGAGAGCCGAAGAGGCTGGGTGACTCCTCCATAGTTACAGAGGACTGCTTTTCAGTGAAGAAGCCAGGACTCTTGGTCCCACTCAGGGCTCCTCCCTTAGGACATCCTGCCTCTCCCAAAGCTCTGTCCGAGTGACTTTCCCTGATTGAAACCCTTTCTGAATGTTCACAGCAGTGTGTAGCATAGAGACTGAATACACACATCATGAGGGCAGACTGTGTGAGTTCAGAGCTTGGCTCTGTCACAGACTTTCCATAGGAGGATGGCAGATCAACATCTTTGTGCCTCAGTTTCCACCTCTGTGAGTTGAGCGTAATTATAGTGCTTATCTCACAGGGATCTTGGGAGGGTTGAATTGAGATAATACATATAAAATGCTTAGGGCCTGGCACATAGTAGATGCTCAATAAAAGTCAGCTATTATTACTTGAGGCAAGTTGCTGGGTGGACGAAAAAAAGTTTTGTGCTGACTCAAATTATGGGTATCACCACTAAAAGAGAAGTAATCCAATCCTATGACAGCAGAGTGTTGTGTTGGTAATACATGTGGATAACACCTGATTTTTATTAAAACAGTTGAGTACGTGGAGCCTATACCATTAACTTTGTGCCTATCATCTACTGACTTCTTAAGTAGTGTTTTAAGTACATCTTCCCAACTCAAATTATACCAAGGGAACATCACTTTGTTTCTTAATCATGCTTGTTTCTGTTCCTATAGCATCTTGTACAATTTTCTGTGCATTGTAAGTGTTCAATAAATGCTTCATGTTTTATATATTAATTTAAAAAAATACTTCTAGAGACTTTTGTTTGCAAGGAAATTTCTCTCCCAATAATACTGTAGTCCATAATAATGTAGCTGAAGACTTATTTTCAACTGGATTAATCTGTGCTCCAAAACAAAAAATAGTTTCATATCATATATAATTGCTATCTTATAGATGTATTTACTAAGCAGATACTTGAAGAAGTGATAGCATAATAACAAAATTGAATTGTTCTAAGATATGGGAAAATTCTAGAATGAGTACGAGCACTTCAGTGTGTTTTGCTTACTCCGGTTCCTAGAATAGTGCCGGGCACCAGTGAATAGAGGCTCACCAAATATTTTTGAATGAATAAATAAGTGATTCAAACATTTGAAATGGTAAAGCTACACCCAGAGTCCTTTACTCTAAGAACATACAGAACATAGTACAGCAGCACATCAGAATGTCTTGCTGTGGAACCAACAACAGAATTTGAATTGTATTCTCGATTTTGGAGGATCAGTTCATGTTTGCAAATTATATTAGAAGTAAAGAAATACCTTTTTAAAAAATGATTTTCAGACCAAAGTCACCTTCCTGTGTTTGGCCAAAAAAATCTCCAGCACTGACTAGTAGCACTCAATAGTTGATATAGCACACTTGTGTCTCTTGGTCCTCAACCCGTTCCTCTGAGGTAGGGAACAAACACGCTTGTGTCAATATCCCGTTTTCCTCAGAGATCAGAGTGTGGTGCTCAAGGCTACACATTCTCCTTCCTCGACCCTGCAGAGCTCTTTTCTTCCTGCAAGGGCTTGTGAGCAGGTGCTGTCTGGGTTAGCGTATCCAAACCTCCGATCTTGTCCAGCCCAGAGTTCAACGCCCTGCTGCTGAGGGCAGAGGTTCAGGACAAAAGGGCAGCCTGAACGTGATCTCCATCTCCAGCCTCACCCTGCCCATTTCTTCTTTACCCACTGCGAGAGGGCGACCTCTAAAACACAAACATCCTGTAATGCACAAGGTAAACCCCACGTACCCTGCTTGAAGCGGCCTTAACCGCAGTTTTCCTCTTCTCCTCTCTGAATATTTCTCCCCTACAAGGCCTCTTTCTGCCCTCAAGTATTTCCTGCTCACCCATGCCATCATCTTCAGATGACCTCACGTGCTGGCGCCTCTGCAGGACACTTGCCTTCTTCATCTTCTCCTTCCTGGGGCATTTTTCAGAGTTAGTGCAAATGTACTTTCAAAAACTGCCACATACAATGGGTCCCATGGTATCCTAATCTTCCCTATCTTAGCACTCATCATATTTTATTACAATTCCTTGTTTTTAATCTTTTGACTTCCTTCCCAGACAGACTTTACCCCGCATAGGGGAGCCCATACCAGGCTTGTTCACTTAGCTCTCCAATGTCAGCACCTTGTCTGAAAGAAGTGGGCACAATTCTTAGTTGCCAGCTCAACCTCCTCAAAAAAACAAAACACAACAAAACAAGCAATAACAACAATAGGTGAACCCTTGGTCTGTCAAAGAACAGATATTGGAGAGAGCAGTTTACAGGAAACTGAGTATAATCCTATAATCCTAAAGGCTCTATCCTGCCTGTATTTGTTTTGTTTTTCTTTCCCTCTCTTTGGATTAAGTAGTAGGCTAGCAGTTTAGGAGGTGTGTAGAAGCTGCCATTAGTCCTTGGCCAGTCTTCAGTGTGGCAGCTTCTGCATGCATTTTATCTACTATTACCCTGTGTCCCTGAACAATTACCCAAACTATATAAGAGAGTGTAGCAGAAGCTATCTAACTGGTCACAACTGCTGGGTGTCTAGCCTGCTTGCCCACATGCAGGTTTTGTTTGGCCTCACAAAATTCACCCACTATTGGTTTAAAATTACTTTGAGGTATTGGTCAATATTTTTTAAAAAAGGCCTAGTGATTTCACATCTAAATACTGGGTCTGCACATTTGCTCTGGAAGCCTCAGCCAGAGCTTGGTCACAGCTGGTCCTTTGGGTCATGACGAGAGCCTTTCTATTTGCATGTCCATGAAGCTCTGCTTATTTCCTTAGCACTGAAACTGAGAGTCCGTTTTGTGCCATTTTATTTTTCTCATAGAATTAAGAGGAAATTAAAATATTTCTTTTACCCACACTGGAAAATGACAGACAGAAACGAAGGCTGGTATTTTCAAGAGCAGATTTCTTTATGGAAATGGAGAGGGTTACCAAGGCTTAATGTGAAAACATGCCTATGTTAAAATCCCAGTATGAAGCAGACTTGGTCCACGTGGTCATTTGTGTTTCTTCTCTGGTTTTGCTGGAACTTTGACTTTGTAAGTTTTGAGCTAATCTGTCATCCATATTGCTTCCAATTTTAAATCATAGCCTATAACTCCTGCTTTCCAAAGGAGGAACAGTCATCATGATTATATTTTGCAGTTATTATTTTTGTGATTGGAATTCTTTTGGGTTAGTTTGAAATAGGCTCTACATCTGATTAAATGTGAAAGTGAATGGCCAGCATCTGTATGAGTTTTTCCTGCAACATCTTCTGGAACTATTAGAAAGAGTGTGTGACTACATACAATAACAAAAACATGGAGCCAACCATGCTGCCCATCAAAACTAGACTGGATTTTAAAAATGTGGTTCATATACACAATGGAATATTATACAGCCATAAAGAAGAAGAAAATTATGGACTTTGCAGGATACTAAGTATCTTATATTCTCACTCATAAGTGGACCCTGAGTATTTACTGTAATACTATAAGAAAGGGATTGACTGTAGCCAGAGACTGTCAGGGGAGGGAGTGAGAGGCATATAACATTAATAAGGGTATCTGATCTCAAACCAGGCAAAGTGGGGACCAAAGGTAAGCCCAAACTTTACTTGTACAATGACCACTTGCATACCTAATCCTGAATTGTACTCCACATCTTCAAAAGAAAATAAATTTTTTTAAAAAAGAAAGAGTATGTGAAATGACAGAAAGTACACTAGTTTAAGTGCTTGTCCACACTTTGCTACTAATTTTAGTTCTTGGACAGGTCACTAAAATTCTTGGGATTTCTGTTCCCCATAGGAAAAATGAAGATATTGGATTTGGTTGACATTTTAAACTATACTACACTCCCTGGCACCTAGGAGGTCCTAATACATTTTAGCTGAATGATTAAGCTCACTATGTCACTTGAATGTGCAGGTTTCTACCAACTTACAGAGAATTGATCTTAGTAACTCAGGGAGCTGAAATATCAGCATTCTCTCTGGTATTTTTTTCCGTGTGTGTGTGTGTGTGTGTGTGTGTGTGTGTGTGTCTGTGATTCTATAAGAAAAAAGAGGTAAATAACCTGGCTCGAGGTCTTATGGCAGAATCTCTCACTCCCAGTACACAAGCTCTTGTACTCTAACCTCACTGTCTCTTAACTGCCTGCCAGTCTGACTCTGTTCCTTATCATTCTTTCATTCATTTCTTTTCTTTTCAGAGTGATATTTATGGACTGGCAAAGAAGTGCAACTTGACGGAGCGCCAGGTTGAAAGATGGTTTAGGAGTCGGCGAAATCAAGAGAGGCCTTGCAGGTTGAAAAAATTCCAGGAAGCTTGGTAAGAAGAATGGTCAGAGCTTTTAAAACACTGTGTTTCTGTTTAGGAGGGGAAGGGTTTAAACCCAGCTCTGTCGCTCACAGATAGGGTGTTTAGGCTTGTCACTCCTTCACCCTCTGTGCTTCTGTTCCTTCCTCTACAAATTGGGCAGGCTATGAACTCTCCAAGATGAACCGGAGATATTATGGTATTTAGCCTGAAGTCCAGAAAAATCATTAAAATATCTTTAACTGGTGTTTTCCTTTTCTAGGGTTAGGATTGACCCTACTTCACAAGACTTCTCCTCTGTTTGCAGTCCTTTTGATCGTAAGAGCAGAGTGTCTGCGAGGATGTGTGTTTCCTTGTCAGAACACTGAGAAAGCCTCTGCTCGTGAGACTTCACTCATTGCCCTAGCCCTGCCTGTGGGTTGTGCAGCCCATTCCTCTGGGTTCCCTGTAGGCTTGGAGAGGGTCAGTATGGACTGGGGCATCAAGTAAAATTTTACCAGAATTAACTGCTTTGAATAGATTCTGAGGGCAGGAAGACTGCATTGGATTTATTTTCAGTTTCACTTGAGTTCGGTTTCTATTTTTTTCTTTCTTCCTATAGAATATGGTAGTACTTTAGGTCATTCTCTTGGTGGCAGAAATTGACACCTGTACATAAAAAGGTGAACTTTGTTTACCCTGCTTTATATCCAGACAAAAACTGGTTTGTGTTCAGTGTCACATTCTACACGCCAGTAGTATTCCTTCTTCCTGCCTGTTTCTTAAGGTCCTCACATTACCTTGTGACTTTTACCAGATGTTTTTGTTTTGATGATGCAGTGAAGAGGGAGCTAATGTAAGACTTTCAAATAAGCAAACAGAGGCTGTGGAAAGCTAAACTTTAGTAACTTATTTTAATTTACGTATATGTTCCCAACTACGATAATCCAACTGTGACCTTGGGTGATGTTTAGAGGGACAAAACCCTTCTTCATGGTGCCTTAAAACAAACACTTCTAGCCGGACTCGGTGGCTCAGCCTGTAATCCCGTGCCTTTGGGAGGCTGAGGTGAGTGGATTGCCTGAGCCCGCGGGTTCGAGACCCGCCTGGGCGACTTGGCGAGACCTCATCTCTACAATATTTTTTTAAAAAATTAGCCCGGCATGGTAGCGTGCACCTGTAGTTCTGGTTGCTTGGAAGGCTGAGGCAGAAGGATCGCTGGAGCCCAGCAGGTCGAGGCTGCGGTGGCCGGGAGCAGCCACTGCACTCCAGTCTGGGTGACAGAGTGAGACTCCAACTCAAAAAAACAAACAAACAAAAAAAACACTTCTCATCACAGGCTTCCTTTGCTTTTCCCTCAGTGGCTCCAGGTGTATGGCCTTGTTTGTTTTCTAAACAACTCCTCTCTGATTTTTAGCTCTTGGAAGGTTGGTAAATATTGCATTGTTGCTGATGTCAGCTTGGCATAAGTGTCTCTCTTTAACCCATCAGCACAAAACAGTGAAAATGGAGCAGGTCTCACATTACACCCTCCCCTTTTTCTTATTGTCATTCATTTATTTTTGCTACCAAATGATTATTGTTTTAAATGAAGTCCCCAGGCAGGGACTCATTTTCTACCTCTGAGCTGAATCCTATTCTAATGAAATTGTCTGGCAATTTCCTAGACATTATAGTGCCTTACAATTTATAAATGTCTGTTTGATCCTCCCACCAATGGCATGAGATAGAGAAGCTAGGATTACCCTCTTTAAGAGATAAGAAACCGCATATCCATCTAGTTTAAAGAACCTGTTTGACGTCACATATGTGATTGAAGGGCTGTTGCGTTTAGTTAGGTCTTTGACTCTGTTCTAATATTATTTCTGTTCCATCGTCCTGTGCTCGCAACTAACGCTTACCTCTCAAAAACAGAGGATCCTTGAAATCAAGTAACATTTTGACATCTGGCTGTGTCTATGAGTCTACTGAAAGTCTGTCACAGAGTTCAGGCTAGAGAAGGGAGTTACCCTTATCAATCAGTCATGCAACGTAGAAGTTCTGGCTGAGTGTCTTCTCTGTACATGGCACTGTCCTAGATTGTAGAGTTCTAGCTTTTGAGAGGGAAGCAAACGTGTAAGTCCTAGGCACTAGTCTTAGACTGTGAATTAGAGAGACCAGATTATCACACAGGAAACCATAACAACTATCATTATTCCACCACCCTAATGACACCAGCCGATACACAGTCTTGTTTAGATGTATTGTGAACATTTAGAGGAAGTGGTGTCAGCCTGGTTGGAGAAGTAGAGAAAGGCTTTCTAGAGAAGAGGTAAGTTGGATCTTGAAGAATGGATGAGATTTCCATACGAAAAGAAAGTAGGATTTTGTTTTCTTTTGAGTTAGTGTCTCACTCTGTTGCCCACTAGAGTGCAATGGCACCATCACTGCTCACTGTAACCTGACACTCCTGGACTCAAGCAATCCTCCTGCCTCAGCCTTTCTAGTAGCTGGAACTATAGGTGTGTACCACCACACCCAGCTAACGTAAAAAAATTTTTTTGTTATAGAGACGAGGTCTCACTATGTTGCCTAGGCTAGTCTCGAACTCCTAGGCTCAAGCAATCCTCTTGACTTGGCCTCCCACAGTGTTGGGATTACAGGCGTGAGCAACCATGCCTGGTCAGAAAGCAGCATTTTCAAGTAAGGCAAAGACACACAGCAGGAAATGATACAGTATATTCAGGAAACAGTAAGTGGGCCCACAAATAAAATTTAAGTTTTAACTTATTTTTTAGTAATGTTAGAAATTTATTCTAAGTCAGATAACTGTTAAAAGTTATTATGGACTAAATGGACTAAAGCAAAGCGCCAAGCTGTTTGATTATATGGGGATTATACTTTATCCTATCAGCCATTCAGTGTGCTACAGAAATCATCACCCAGGATGCTTATTTCCCAACATCGAGCTCTTAAGATTACTCTCCTGTAGACAGAAATTTCCTCAAAGCATCAGGATGGATTAGCCCGGGAGCACCCTGAGCTCAGTCCATTGTTTCTTTGGCAGGTCCTTTTTAAAATAATCAAAGTCCATATTAGCTGACCACATTTCTCTTTAAAATAAAGCATTTCCATGTAGCATGTAAGAAGGAACTCCCAAGTGCCTGAAGTGTACAAGGAGGGGAACTCCCCAGTGTGGGAGAGAGGACTCCCCTTGGCAGGGCGGACACAGCCTCTTCCTTGCCTCTCCTTGCAGTCCACTATCCGCTCCATCCCGCCTGCCCACCATGGAGCCCATCTCTTGCCTTTCTGGCTTCTGTACCATTGGCCCAAGTTCCCTCTGTCCAAGGCCTCCCTGATTTCATCCTGCAATCTCACCTTCTTTAACTATTACCATCTTTGCCTAACCAATCCATTTCTAAATTGTTTTTCCCTCCCACAATTATGTTTATTTTATCCTATTTTATCCTTTCCTGGAAAAAAAAATGTTCATTTGAAGCAAGTAAAATGACATTGACAAATACATCATCATTCAATTTATTATCAGTGAAGTGTAACAGTTCTCAAACTTTGTAGTCTCAGGACCCCTTGTTCCCTTAAAAATTCTTGCAGATCCCAAAGAACATGTATGTATATTATATTTTGATATTTATAGTTTTAGAACATTAAAACATTTAAAACAGTGACATTTATAAAATATGAGACTGCACCAGCACACATTTCATCAGTGCAATTTCATTCAGAGCAACAAAGCAATCACATGTTATATAACCTCCCTTGTGAGATAATGAGAGGCAATTTTAGTATTATTATGAAAACATTTTGACCTCAGGGACTCCTGGCACACACTTTGAGAATCCCTGGTGTGGTATAATAAAACCTGAATAGGACTGGTCCAGAAAAATGTAAAACTTGGATTGTACTCTTACATCTGATTGTTACCGTACAACCTTGGGTAGGTTTTGTGATCTAAAGTTTCCTTTAGTATTTATCTTGCCTACTTTTTAAGGCTGTGAGAATCAAGTAACAGTCTCAAGAATGGGCCAACTTCATAATCTTGTGAAGATAAAAATGTGATCACACATGTGTGCTTAGCACAGTTCCTGGCTCAGAGTCAAGAAGCCAATACATGTTTGAGAAACAAATAAAATGAGACATAGCACCTAGACTTTTGGCTTTATTTGTGGGCTGGCTGGCCTTATCATCTCCTATTTTTTGTGGTTTTTGTTTGGACAAGATAATCCAAGAAACCAAGAAAATGCTCTCTGCAAATAAAACAAGCGCTGTCAAGTCTCAACTTTCATTTTGTAAAATGCCCTTTGGGTGTTTTAATGGTTCAACTTTTGGAGTATTGAACTCTACTTTTTTGTTCTATCAAAGCAGGCCATGAGGGCAGCTTAGAGGCAGGAATCATGTTCAGGAAACTACTGCATGCAGAGTTCAAAGACTCACACTTCAAGTTGCAGCTTTCCTGCTTCTTAGCTACATGAGCTGGGAAATGACCCAATCTCTCATTTACAAAATGGGTATATATGTATGTTCCTATTTCTTACCTATCTTACAGGTGTGTGTGTTGAGAAAAGCACAATAAGGCCTTACACAAATATAAGGTACAGATATTATTTAAATATTATTATTGTTGCTTCAGCAATCATTGGATCAAATAGACATTTTTTAAAAAACTTATTTTGGAAAGTTGCAAACATATACAAAAATAGAAGGACTACACAATGGGCTATGCCAACTCCAGCACGGATCAACTCAAGGCCAATCCCGAGTCCTTTGTACCCCTACCTTCCCCTCTCTCCCACCATAGATGACTTTTGAAGCAACTATCAGACATTGCATGATTTCATTTGCAAGTATTTTCGTATCTCTAAAATATAAGAACTCTTTATTTTAAATGTAATTGCAATACCTGTATCATAACTGAAAGATTTTTAATAAAAAAGTCAGTGTTTCATTTATTGTCTCATAATTTTCTTTGCAGTTTGTTTATTTGAATCAGTATTTAAATAATTGGTTGATATATCTCTTCCATCTCTTAATCTATAGATTTTCCTCCATATGAGGAAAATCTTTTCTTTTAAAGTCTGCTTTTTAGGAGAAAAGTCTAAAGTCTGACCACATAGAAACCTTTTAACTGGGGATTACATGGGGATAAAATAAGCGGTTAGACTCATTAGATCCTTCTTGTCATGATGATGATAATACTAACATCAAACCATTGTTGATTGTGTTTCTAGAACTGAGTAATAATGATAATAATGTCTACCATTTATTGTTACTTACTTTATATTTGAACTATGATCAATACTTTCATAAATTATCATCAGTTTTTGACATTTAGAAATAAGTGTTGCTATTCTCATTTTAAAGGTGAGATAAGACTTCCTGCAGTTAAATGATTTACCTATGTTTGTAACTATCTAATATATGGCAGAGCCAGGATATGAACTTAGGTTTGCTGGATTCCAGAACGTATGTTCTTTCCAAACTCTTATCACATCCTTTCTCCTTAAATGTCATTCACCTTTACAAGGGAGTAAAGACTTTTCTTTCCTTTGGCAGCTGGAGATTTGCATTTTACTTCATGATAACTGTTGCTGGAATTGTATTTCTTTATGATGTAAGTTATCTTTTTAATATATTTGATCCTCAATTTTTAAAATTCTTGCCTGAAATTTCTTTAGGCTGTAATACTTTCAAAAAGACAAGCAGTTTTAGAGATTTCTCTCAAGACTCAAGATTTCTCTCAAATATTGTTACAGATTTATCTCAAATATCTCAAGATATTTGTATTGCTTTAGAAGCATTAATATATTTGGTTCAGACATAATTTTGTTAGTAGATTCACTTGTTGAATCAATTTCCTCTATGAAATCAGATGATTTACTGATCACAGATTCAAGAAGTAGTGAATTTTACAGGGGTGTTATATGTAGGAATATGTAGAAATGCTTACAGAAAGAGAAAAATGTACAAAAGAAACAAAAGGAATATGACAAAAGTGTGTCTTCCTGTGCCTTACCCCCTATAAGTGACACCAGGAAGAGCTTAGGTTTTCTGCCAAAATCAACTTTGACTTTGACAAACTTATTTATTCTCTTTTGGCTTCTTGTCTTTTTCAGAAACCTTGGGTTTATGACCTATGGGAGGTGTGGAATGGCTATCCCAAACAGGTAAGTCCCTTCTGATGTAGTCCCCCCTCACTTCAACACCCAGACTGCTCAAATTGTCCCCTTAGGGTTTGGATTGCGCTACTCTTTGTCACTACTATGTCATCCTCTGGCACTTTCTTTATCTGAGCTTCCTCATCCTTATTGACCCTCACTTGTCTCATTCCTTTAGTTGGTTTATAATTAATGTAATTATACATTTGAGCTTAAACCTATTGTCTTACTATTTATTTTTATTTGTACCACTTGATGCATTACCTTTTGTACTTCCTTCTTACTTTTCTATGGGACACTTATGTTTTTTTAAAAGTTACTATTCCATTTCTTGTTTATTAACTTTTCAGTTATGTATGCTTTTGTTCTTTTAGTAATTATCCCAAGGATGCTGTATACATCCTTGACTTACTAGACTGTATTACAGATCCATGCCTTCCCTCTTTCCAGTCACTGAAAGGTCATTAAAATACACCATGTTCCCTTCTCCTTCTAATATTTAAGACCTTACAATTCATTGCTTTTATTGTTTTGTGAATCTGTCCAGTTACCTTCTCACACTGTTCCTTGCTTCCTACATTTTCATGCCTCCATCTGGAATTATTGAAGGTGTGCCTTTGGTATCTTTTTTAGTGGCAAGTCTGCCGGATTTTGTTTGTCTGAAAATGCTGTCATATTGCCTTTGGTTTTTAAAGAATATTTTTTACTGGGTATAGAATTCTAACTTAGTAGTTATTGTCTTTCAGTACTTTAAAAGATGTTATTTCATTATCTCCTTGATCCCATCAACTTCTTTAAGAATTCAGCTGTGGGGGAGGCGGACGTCATCAACAAGGGTACCTGCATAATGAACATTTGTATACCTAACCCTGAATTGTGCCCCCCATCTTTAAAATGAAAAAATTAAAAATAAAACAAACAAAAAAAGAATTCAGCTGTCACTTTTATTTTTGTTTCTTTGAACATAATGTTTTTTTTCTTCTGATCAATTTTTATTGGTCAGCAGTTTTATTATGATAGGCATAAATGTAGTTACCTTTGAATTTATCTTGCTTAGTGTCTGTAGTACATCTTGAATCTGTAGCTTGATGTCTTTAGTCAGTTTTGGAAAATTCTTAGCCATTACTTCTGTTCCTCTCTCTCTCCACTCCTCTGAAATTCCAGTTACAAGTGTACTGATATGCTAGACTGTTATACTATGCCCTGAAAGTCTCTTATGCTTTTAAGAATATTTTCTATTCTCTTGCCTCTCTGTGCTTCAGGCTATTAAGAGGTAATTCTCCACGGGTCTCTTGCATATCTGCATATTCTGAGAAATGAGACACTGACTTTTTTTTGTTTTGGACTGTCTTTTCAGGATATTTATATATCAAACAGACTTGGGAGACAAAGATAATGTCCCCCTCTGGAGGAAATGATAGACATGTTACAGCACATTATAAAAGACTCAGATTCAATAGTTCAGGGTTTATTTCTTGTAACCCATACCCACTGTGTGGGCAGTTGTCTTCTGACCCTCTTTGCTTAGCCACATAGGAACTGGAGATAGGAGAATTGACCCAAATACTTATACTCTGGCTACCGGTATTACTCTGAGTCATAAACTGCTCTTTATCACTGGCCAAGGAGCCTCCTGTCTTCTACCAGCATTCAGGAAACTTGTTAGCTTTCAAGTAGAGTAAAATCTCAGATACTTTCTGCTTCCGTGTCCTCCAGTTCACTAGCGCTGGATATTTTCTGCTTCTATGTCCTCCAGTTCACTAGCGCTTTTTTCAGCGGTGTATAATCTACTGCTAAACCCATCTTTTGAGTTCTTAATTTCAATTATTGTATTTTCAGCTTTAGTTCTCAAATTTTCATTCAATTTTATTTTTAAATGGATTCTTGTTCCCTACTGAAATTTTCCATCTTTTAATCTATTTTTGCAATTATTTTAAAGTCCAAGTCTGATAAATCTAATATCTTGATCACCTTTGGATCTGTTTTCTTTCTTATTCCTGTCTCCTTCTGTTTGATAGTGATTTTGACTGAATGACAGACATTGTATATGAAAAATGGCAGATGGTCAGGATAATATTATCTTCCTTCTGAGAGGATTTACTCATACTTCTATTAGGTGGTAGAGTTTGAGTAGATCACCTTTAATCTGTGATTGAGCTGATTCAGTGAGGACTTCAGACTTTGTAAAGGCAGGTGATTTTCCAACTTACTTGTACCCTAGAGTATTCTTCTTCAGTGGCTTTAGATAAAAGATTACAGTGTTTACCATGGCTACTTTCCCCTGGTCAGCCTGAGCTACAATTTGCTTCCTAGCATTATGGGATTACAGGAACTCCTACTTCTGCTATTTCTTAGTCTCTGGACTCCATACTGCTTATAAATTGGAAAATACAGAATTTATTATATGCATAGAATAGTTTTCTTTGAATTTATTCTGCTTAAAGTCTGTAGTACTTATTGAATAAAGGGTTTACTTGAAATACAGGGTTCACTCAAATGCATTTTTTCTTCTCCTTGGGGTCTTGACTCTATGGGTTCCAGATACCATAATTGCCCTCTGATGTCTTCAAATAGATATTCTTTTTTTGTCTCTTATCCAGATTTTTAAAGTTGTTCTTAATTAGAAGGGTTAGTCCCATACATGCTTGTTTGTCACAGAAGAAAGCAGAAACTTTGTCTCATCCTTTTATGGCCTTTTCAATGATGATACATTGACCAGAAAAGTTAGTTATTTTAATATGTTAACCTCTGCATTAAGTAATCAAAAGTTAAACCATAAGGGACCTAGGTATCATCTAGGCCAAACCCCAGGTCTATTATCTTCCATCTCCAACTTTTATCTTGTCAGGTATATCAGTTGTCTATTGATGCATAACAAACCATCCCCAAAATTTAATGCTTTACAACAGCAGTCATTTATTTATTTGCTCTTGATTTGAGTTGGGGGTTTGGGTTAGACTCAGTTAAGTAATTCTGCTCTACATGGTGTCGGCTAAGTTCATTCACACATTTTCAGTGTGTTGGGAGGTTGGTAAGGGGATGGCTTATGTCCCTGGTGCCCATGGTGCCTGGTATATTTGGCAGTCAAAACCCTGAGGCTCTTCTTTGTGGTTTTTCTAGCAAGATGGCTCAAGTTTCTTATGTGGTGCCTATGAAGTCTCTGCTCGCATCCCATTTGCTTCTGTCCTCTTGACCAAAGACCAAGATCAACTCCATAGTTGGTGTAGAGGGAGATTGTACAAGGGCTTGGATATCACAAGGCACATTCATTGACAACATTAATGTAACAATGCAGCACACTATAAAGTTATTAAGGAAAATTCTAGCTGTAGAAATTGTATTCTTTTATTTAGAAGACATTTTTAGAGTGCTTAAACAATTGTGCAGTTTTTATTACTGTCTTATTTGAAAATAGGCTAATTCTGATTACCAACCTATCACCAGAAAAGAGGTTGAGATATCAGATTTTGAGTGGTATTCAAGAAACATTAAACAAAGTAAATTGTGGGACCAGAAGAACAGACTTCCTATTGTCCCTAAGTAAAAATTTTAGTTTAAAAAATTTTTAAATTTAACTCTTAATAAACTGAAATAAGACACTTGTGGCAGTTTTCTTAGATTTTTCAACAAAATATTTAACCTGGTTTGGGAATACTTGTTTACCCTTTTAGAAATAAAAATGCCTTGAAATATTATCTCTAGTTCCTTTGTGAAAGTTGAAACATAAGCCATTGTTATCTTATGGAATTTTTGGTAATATAAATAAATATAAATGGTTTTAGTGCATTAAAATTAGTTGCTTATATTATAACAGTTAAAGCAATGAATACTTTTCTCTTCCCCAGCCTCTGCTGCCATCCCAATACTGGTACTACATTTTAGAAATGAGTTTTTATTGCTCTCTGCTATGTAGCCTTGGCTCTGATGATAAGAGAAAGGTAAGTGTCTTACTTCCAAAACTTCTTTATCAGTTTTCTCAAAAATTTCCATTCTTCTGCCTAAAATTCAAATCTTTAAGCTATATTTTTCTGTGTATTTAGTTCCAATTCACTGATTTTCTTTCATTTTATAGTATATAGAGTAATGCTAATTATGCTCACGCTTTGGTGCTTTGGTACATATTTGTAGTGAAACATTATAAAACTTTAACTTTGAAGCTCTTCCACTGTTCATTAAGAAAAACACATCTGCTTTATATGTCTGTTTATTTTGGTTGGGGAATTTAATGTCCATCAATGCAAAGAAGAAAAGCATTGGTAGTATTAATTCTGCAATCACATCTTTGAGTAGATTTTAAAATCACTGTATGTAAAACCTTTTGATTTTTTTCACAGACTTTGAAAACATTTTTTCTTGATTCATCAAATGTCCTTGTGAAGAAATCTTTCTTGAGTTATTATTAGCTTTACTTCATTTGCAAGGAAACTGAGTCAGAGGCATACTAAATACCTCCTCTGAGGTCACAAAGTGAGGCATTTTAGGAACTGTTGGTTGTTAGTCCAGCAATTCATGTTTGACCCTGAATACAATCATAAGATTTTGGCATATATGTTAGCAATGCAGATCAAAGGATAAATACTCTTTGCATATGCTTTACAACCTTCTCCATATGTAAAAGGCTGGCTTGTAGCAAAATTTGTATGATAAATAAAATTAAAGTTCAATATTAAGATAAAGTTGGCTTGATTAATAGCTGTTTGAGTTGAGTGGTGGTGGCCATTACCCCTCATGTAGGAGCACACTGCAGTCAGCTGGACATCTTAAAACATTGGAATCTAAATATACGAATGTACTATGAAAAAATCTAATAGAAGTGATCTTGGCTGGGCTTGGTGGCTCAGCCTGTAATCCCAGCACTTTGGGAGACCCAATTCCGCGGGTTCGAGACCAGCCTGGGCAACTTGGTGAGACCTAGCCTCTACAATAAAATGAAAATAGCCAGGCGTGGTCGCGCACATCTGTAGTTCCGGCTACTTGGAAGGCTGAGGTGGAAGGATCGCCGGAGCCCAGAGGGTCAATGCTGGGGTGGCCGAGAGTGTGCGTGCCACTGCACTCCAGCCTGGGTGAAGGAGTGAGACTCCAACCCAAAAAAACAACAGCAACAACAAAAAGAATTGATCTCCATTTCCATATACCTCGACAATAGCTATAGGTTAACTGTTACCAACATTACACTAGGAATACATCAAAATTTAATTGATTGAGTCATTTTCTCAAGGGATAGAATTGAAAATAATCATTTTTTAGAAAATCTTCCTGGATAGGTAGGTTGACCCTGTATTTCTCCCACCTTAGATTTAGCCATGATTGACTTTCCTTTTATAATTTATAGGTGCGTTGAACACTTTTCAGAAATTAAATGTAAATTATGGTATAGGTTTTATCAAAACATACCTTTGGAAACATAAAGCATTAGGAGATGGCTAAACCAGGCTCTGGAGTCAGAACACTTGGGTTTGAATCCCTGACTAACATCCTGAGCTAGTTGGTCAAACTCCCCAAACTTGGTTTCCTCATGTCTATAAAATAAACTAAAAATAGTTGCCATTTCCTATGGTTGTTGTGAGGATTAAGCAAGTTAACCTGTATTAAGCACTTCCTGATAGTAAATGCTCAATAAGTTGAGCTATTATTATTATTGCTATGTCTACTCTCAGTTTGGCTGCAAGGAAATTGCAATAATTAAGTTTTTTTATACATGTTTATTGAGATATTCACATACCACACAATTCAATCATTTAAAGTATATAATTCTATGGCTTAAAAAATATTCACAGAATGTGCGGTCATTCCCACAATCAATTTTAGAACATTTTTGTCATCCCAATAAGAAACCCTGTACCCATTAGTGTCACTCTTCATTTCTCCCAGCCTCCCCAATCCTGCAACCACCACTCTACTTTGTCTCAATGGATATGCTTCTTTGGATGTTTCATATAAATGAAATCACACAGTATGTAATCTTTTGTGTTTGCCTTCTTTCACTTAGCACAGTTTTCAAGGTTCATCCATGTTGTAGCATGTATCAGTACTTCATTTCTTTTTATTGCTCCACGATAGTCCATTGTATGGATAGACAAATTTATCCATTCGTCCGTTGATGGACACCTGGGTTGTCTCCTCCATTTGGCTGTTATGAGTAATGTTATGAACATTCACATACAAGTTTTTACGTGAACATATGTTTTCTTTTCACCTAGGAGTGGAATTGCTAGGCCCTATGGTAATTCTATGTCCAACCTTCTTAGGAATGGCCAGACTGTTTAACAAAGTAGCTATCTCATTTTACATTTCACAGCAGTATATAGGGGTTCTAATTTCTCCACATCCTTGCTAACACTTGTTAATGTTCATCTTTTTTATTATAGCTATCCTAGTATGTGTGAAGTGCTCTCTCATTATAATTTTGGCTTGGATTTTCCTACTGGCTAATGATTAAGCATCTTTCCATATGCTGATTGGTCATTTGTATATTTTTCTTTGCAGAAGACCTTTAAGTTTTTATGCTTATTGGCAGTAGCTTTCCTTAGCCTAGATTTTCTAATCCACTCTCGCTTGTTACTTATTTCATATGCACTAACTTATTTTAATGGCTGTGTAGTTTTATTATATCAATCAGTCCTTTTGTTTTCTCTTTTGGAATTAGGCAGAGAATAAACAATAAATGTAAATGCACATAAGAATATGCTTGTGTGTACGTGCATTTATTATGTGTGTGTATCTCTGTGCGTGTATGTGCATGTACATATGTCCAGTGTGTGATAGTGGAAAGAACAGCAGATGTTAGGAGTCAGATGACAACTATTCAATGCTGTCTCAAAGTAAACAACTTCATCAATGAAATAATACTTGTCGTAGCTCCCCCACAAGGATCATGTTTAAGAATTAAAGTAAAAGTATTTTATAAATTTCAAAACATGCAGATGTAAGTTATTGGTTTTATTATTATTGTTATTATTCTTTCTTCCAGTGATTGGGTAATAACTGCATTTCTTAATGGCTTCCATTTTCCCTTCATTATGTAGGATTATCTAGCGCATGTCGTCCACCACCTGGCTGCTATTAGTCTGATGAGCTTCTCTTGGTGTGCTAATTATATTCGCAGTGGGACCCTCGTGATGTTTGTGCATGATGTGGCTGACATTTGGCTAGAGGTAAACGTTTGCCATTAAAAAACTAATGACAATTCCACGTCCTGGGTTTCTGTAACTGCTCACAGAAGGAATTATCTGTGAGTGATTTAGCAGGGTTCTTTGTCCTGAAAACACCCAGAGTCCGAGAATGTCTCTAGGTTCCCAGATTCTCCCAAGATTAAAGAAACAAAACGTCTTAGTTTCTATTTTCAACCGTTCTCCATGGTGCTAGAGAGATGCTAATTTGTGGGATTCTACTTCTGAAAGTTGCATGCAGACGCTAGCTCCGGAAGTAAGATGAGATATTTGAAGAAGGAATGACTCTAATCTTTTAAAAGTAAAATGTGGATTTATGGTATTAAGGATTCTCAAAGTTGGATGGCGCCATCTATTCACTTAAGCCAATGCTTGGATACTTGCTGAGGGCTCACGCTGCCCCAGCCCAGCCTCCCCCGGCCTAGGCCACTGCTTTAAGAAATGGAAGCTGATGTTTTCTTAAAAGACACTCATTTTCTAAAGGAGAAAGAGGGCTTAGGGTGCTTTCTGAAGCAGGGAACATTAAAACAAGAGTCTTCCTAATCCCACACTATACAGAATATGAAAAACAAAGCCACGTTAGGATTGTTTTCTGGACCTGTTTCTGTTATGCTTTGGTCCTGTTGACCCGAGGCAGTGATTGAATGGTCCCTTCTCTGCCAGGTCTCCTGCTGTATTTAGAGTAACATTTCCCAGAACTGCTGAGTTATTCATTTAAATATACTCATTTATAATGAGTCCAGTGAAAATGATGCTAACCCATTTCACATTTGGGATTATTTCTTGAAGGGCTAATAATTGAATATAGGTTGATATGGAAGAAATTAAATTTAATGGAATCTTGTTCTTTTAGATTGGGGTTCAGCAAGTTTCTTGGCAAAGGGCCAGATAGTAAATCTAGTTTTGTGGGCCGCATATGATCTCTGTCACATATTCGTCTTTGTTTTTTTCTTTTTCTTTTTAAAAATACCTCATTTAAAATGTGGAAACCATTCTTAAGAACCAATCAGCTTTAGCCTATGGGTTGTACTGTAATTTGCCAAACCCTGTTGAGGAAGTCACCAGAAATCATTTGAAGCCATTTCAAAGCAACTTGCCCACTGTTAAAATATTCTCTGTGTACAGAGCTTTGTTTCTACCTTATATATAATCATAATTAGACATGTAAATCCTATTCTGAAGGTCAAGATTATTACATGTTCTTTAGGGCAACAAATGGCTTTGCAGAAGACGAACTGTGCCAGTTTTTCCGTATGCTGCTTTCTGGATATAGCCATCTCTGCTGTAATTACCTCTTTCTCTGATCATATCTCAGTAATCCTGACTGAAAATTAAGACCACATTGGCCCTGACTTAATAATTTTATACTATTCTGTTTCTCCTAAGCCCTCTTGTTCAATTGCTTTTGGTGTATGTCCAATGTAAAAAAGCTTCACTGTGTTGTTAAAGGGGAGTTAGGTGTTCAGGCTGGGAAAAAATGCTGGGTTGTCCCTACCCACCCTTTCTACTGTCATTGATGTGACATGACTCCCTGAGTGACTTGGGCAAATCACTTATTGTTTTGTTTTCTATCCCCAGCTGTAGCATAAGAAGTCATATCTATCCCTTAGGGTATATTGTGAAGTTTAACTCATTACTGTTTAAAAATGTTCTGTAGTCCTTAGGTAAAAAACAGAAGAAAAATGAAATGTCAAATGTAAGAACAGCTATGTGTTGTTGATGGTCATGAATCACGTTTGATTCACAAGTCATGATCTAACGTGAGATCCAGTGAGCAATCCTGGCACCCTCCATCAGCTGGGGGTAGAGACAACACGCAGCCGTGGCTGGGGCCTATTTCTGACATTCTCCCAGGGTGCACATCCCACGACTTCCTTGCAGAGTTTGTGTCAGTGTTTGTCCTCTCAGTCAAGTTCTAATTGAATCCAGACGTGTCACAGCTTTTGCCTCTTGCTTCCTTGAGATGGAGCCTATTAATCTTTCATATTTCTCAAGACAGTTGGGTTATTTCTTAGCTCTTTCTTTGCAAGGAAAAACAGCCTCAGCAGCTGCCATTGTCACTCAGAAGTGACCTGTTGCCTTCTCCATGCATCTTCCCGATCCTCTGATTTTCTGTAAGGTCTAGTTTGGATCCAGGACCCAACACTTTAATAGTGTACTGACTGATACTCAGCAAAGAAAAGGGGTTACTGTCTGTTATTTCACCATTACAGGTCCAGAATATGTCATGTGTTTGTTTTGTCTAAAAGAGGGCTACTTTGGCCTCATATACAGACTTACAGAGATCCTCTCCCATTCCTGTGCACATTCCTCACTTCCCCCGCTGGCCGGCCTCTGACTCTTCCAGCAGGTGGCTGCTCCATTGTGGTCGCCCTGAACTCTGGCCTTCCCCCCCACACCCATCTCCTGCCCACCAGGTACACCAGCCTTCTGTGTCAGCAACTAAAGCTGCTCCCTGTGGGCCCTGTGCCAATCCCACAGTTGGGCCATATTCTTACCCCTTGGTAAATATGGAAAAGTATGGAAAAATGCCACATGAAACCTTCCTTGAATATAAATATGTCACCTCTCTTGTTCTAGAAGGGCCTTGAGCCTTCCGGGTAAAGTCAGCTCTGAGCCTGCTGGAGCTCTGAGCCTGCTTGATGCTCATTAGAGGAATGATCTGCATCCCAGCAACTCCTCCCTACCTCCCACCCCTAACTCCCACCAGAAACATCTCCTTTCAGCCTTGGGCTTCACTGGATGATGCAAAAGAGAACCCTCATCAACTGACCTTCTACTATTGCATTCTGTTGAACTACCCTTTATGTACTTCTTTTTATTCAACACAGAGAATATCAGCAGTATAGACTAGCATAAAATAAGTAGCAAAAATCAAGTGCTTGGAAATGTTATTTCAACTAGTACAGGGTCCCAAGAGTGGCCTCCTGACTCCACCTCTTCCATCAACTGCCTTGAAGTTGCTAGTTGATTGCAACATTCCCAGCCAGTCCAGGATTCCACACCTGTCCCAGCCTTTCTTCAGTCCTCCCTCCTCCCAGTCAAATGGAGATATCAAATGAATGCCCAAATGAAATGCAGGTGAACATTGATTTTGCTAACTTCTAGTGTTTGTGAAAGACATAAGTAATATTACAGTCCTTTAAACTTATCGTTTTAAAACATTATGACATGGAAAATCTCAAACTTATGACAAGATAAAAGGAATAGTATAATGGACCCACCAGCTTTAACAGTTACCAACATGGCAGATTTTGTTTAATTGGTTGCCCCATCTCTACCCCAACCTCCCACCCAGAGTGTTTTGAAGCGAATCTCAGACATCATATCATTTCATTTTTAAATATTTAAATTTTTAAAATTTAAACTATCACTTTATCTGAATGCAGTTTCTTTCTTTCTTTTCAGTCTGCTAAGATGTTTTCTTATGCCGGATGGAGGCATACCTGTAACACCCTGTTTTTCATCTTCTCCGCCATGTTCTTCATCAGCCGCCTCATTGTTTTTCCCTTCTGGTGAGTAGACAGGAGGTGTGAAATCCTGGTTGTGGTGCATTGTTACCATTAGAGCATTGCTCTTTCTTTCTGTATATGGTTCTCCAGTTTTTTGTGCCAAGTGCAGTTGGAGGAGAGAGTGTGATGGAGCCATTTTTTATAAATAATTAAAACAACACTCTCCAGGGTGGGAGGGGCTTATTACAAAGGGAGATAGAAAATGTATGACCCAGTAGACAAGCAGCAACTTTTACCCTGTGTCTTGTGTCATGAATGTGAATCTTTCTTTGTGAGCCACAGCTTTTCCAGTCGCTCAATGAAAAGTCATTGGGCAATTACCAGTTTTCTAAAAGAGAGGTATGTCCTGTATTACAATAATTATAGCCATTATTGAAACTGCATTGAGTCTGCATTGAGTCCTTCTTGTATCTTGGCTCTAGTCTATACAACAAATCATAAAGATGGATATTATCACTTCCATTTTACAAATGAGCAATCTGAAACTCATTTCATTCTTCATGACCACTGGTCCTGACAATGATTTGAATGTCCTTTTGAAATTGACTGGCCCTTGATTAGTCTGTTGATTTTGTTTAGCCAAGGGCTGGCCATAATGAACATATATTGCATCTCCCATGACAATAATTTCTTTGGCAAGTAAAATTTTCTAAGTGTTGATCTACAGAAACCAGAGTAAACATGCAGAAAACCTCAGATAGTCTGGAAGGAACAGCTTTTACTAATCATAGTTTGGGATTAGTCTGGGAGTTCTGGATCTTCTCAACAGAAGAATTCATGCTATTAAAAATCCTAGATCCAGGGGAAATTGATGGAGACTCAAGTTTCAGGTCTCATTCACAGGTGGATAGATAACACCCTTGTCTAGCACCCAGGAAGTCCAGCCAGAGAAGTCAACAGGTACTGCCCTTCCCAAGGAAGCCAGCTACATTCTTTAAATCATATCTTGATTTGGCATTTTCTGGAGAGGAGCAGCAGAGTACAGTGGTTAAGTTTGTGGATGGAAAAGTCAATCCTGGCTCTACATTTACTACCTATGTGGTCTTAAGCAGGTTAGATCACCCCTCTGTATCTCAGACTTCTGATCTGTAAAATGGAAATAAGGATTGCCATGAGGCTTAACTGAGGCAATACATAGTATAGAACAATGTCTGGTACATAGAAAAGACTATGTACATGCTATCTATTGTTATTAAATTATTGAATATTACAGAATTTACACATTAATCTAGAATCAAATCCAAGGTACATTTTGAAGATACTTTCCTTGGCTGATAAATCACGTTACCATCACTTTGACTGAGAAAGTGTGACTGTGAAATTATAATATTGACCAGGTGCATCTGTAATCTGAGCTAAGCAGGAGGCTGAGGTGGGAGAATTGCTTGGGTTCAGGAGTCTGAGACCATCCTGGGCAATATAGTGAGATTCTATCTTTCATTTTTTTTTAGTTGAAGTCTCACTCTGTTGCCCAGACTGGAGTGTAGTGGCACACTCACGGCCACCCCAGTGTGGACCTGCTGGGCTCCAGCAGTCTGTCTGCCTCAGCCTTTCAAGTAGCTGGAACTACAGGAGCATGCTACCATGCCCGGCTAATTATTATTATTATTATTATTATTATTATTATTATTATTGTAGAGGTGAAGTCTTGACAAGTTGCCTGGGCTGAACCTGTGGGCTCAGGTAGTCCACTCGCTTTGATCTCCCAAAGTGCTGGGGTTACAGGCTGACCTATTAAGCCCAGCCAAGACTCTTATCTTTTAAACAAATCATATATTGTATGAGAGCAGTTATTGATAAGTTGGTATAGATTTTTAGTGTAATCCTGGCATTGTCATCCAACATTTGACCCTCGCTACTTCTCATGTCCCAGAGACACCCTGTGTTCCAGCTATCTGTTGCTGCATAACAAACCAACTGAAAGTTTAGTGGCTTGAGACATTGTGGGCAAATGTTTTCTGCAATGGGCCAGAGAGTAAGTATTTTAGGCTTTGAGGACCACATATGGTCTTTTGCGTATTTTTCTTTGTTTTGTTTTGTTTTATAACCCTTAAAAAATGTAGCAAGCCATACTTAGCTCATGGACTGTACGAAAACAAATTGCAGGCCAGATTTTGCCCACAGGCCATAGTGTGCAGACCTCTCTCTTAAAGCAACATCATTTATTGATTATTGTTATTTCTCATGGGTCTGGGAATTGATTGACCTTGGCTTGATGGTTTTCACTTAGGGTCTCTTATGAGGTTACAGTCATATGGTGGCTGCGCAGCCAGATAGTGGCTAGAGTTGGAACTTTCTTGACTCTGTCTTCAGTCACATGATTGAAGTAATGCATATAACATCAGTTGGTTGATGCTGATTGTTGGCTGGGACCTCGGCAGGGGCTATCAGCTGAAGTACCTACAGGTGGCCCTTCTACGTGGCCTTGGTCTCCTCATACATCATGGCAACTGCATTTCAAGAGTGAGCAACTCAAGAGAAAGCTAGAGAGATCAACCTTTTTTTTTTTTTTTTACTAACCATCCTTAGAAGTCATATTGTGTCATTTCCAACCTCATGTTCTTCATTGAAACCAGGTCACTAAGGTTGGCTCCTATTCAAGGGAAGGAAAATCATACTCCACTTCTAGATGGGAACAGTTTCAAAGAATCTACGGATGTATTTTAAAAGCACACACTGTGGAATCTCTCAGTCCAGGGAACTCTCTGAGGAGTTCCTGCAGTATTGTTACTGTTGTTGGCTTTTGATTTAGCAATGGAGAACATTCATCTCAGACTTTCCCATGATGTCTCAAAGTAAACAAGCACAATTACTCAGCCATAAACAATTGAGCATTGTGATGGGGTCCAGTGGTTGTGGAGGTTGTGTGCGACCTTCCCACACACCTTTGACTTTAAAAATCCTAAATTTAAGAACTCATTCTCTTGCCAGCATTTCTGGATTTCGAGGAGTGTGAGTTACATGCATTTGGTATTTCCTTGATCTTGATACTGAATTCACTAACCCACTGCTGAAGCAGCCAGAACCATCGATTGTGGTCTTCAGGGACTTTCGTTGTGAATAAGCCAATAGTAACAGGTTTGGCTGTAAAAATTTTTTCCTGGTAAAAGTATTTCTGTTCCGATGTTGACTGATTCTTATTGTTCAGAAGATTGAGAAAAACCTCACCAAGTCTTTGGGAGATCAGTTTTCAATGGTCTTTGGAAGAATCACTAGACTGTGAGGCTAAAGCACTTGAGTCAGAGGGCACTTCTCCCAGTTGCAGTGTATTGTTCCAGGTCAGAGTTCTCCCACCACCTTGAACTTGTTACATAATCTCTGTGGTGTCAAAGAGGAAAATTTAGTTTCTTACTGTGAGCCTGGCTCCAACCAGCTGTCCAAAACTGGTAACTCTATAGATTCATTAGTCAAGGATATTTTATTCTGCCCAAATGAGTTGGGATTTTACTGTCAACTAATGTGTGGATTATAGGTGAAGCTGGAAGGTGACTCACTAACTTAGCCAAGTCTCAGACATTTCAGAGTTCTTTGGGGGGCAGTTTGCAGTCTAGTTGCTCGGTGCTTCTTTCTAGTTGCTTTTGTTGCACATTTAGTAGTGAGATACAGCATAGGGTGTGGGGAAAGCTGATTAGGGTTGTGCCCATCTGAGATTTGTCTGGAAGTCTTGGGAAAAAGCATGTGCACTATACTTGTTTTTCCCTTTCTTTGATTTCTTTGGTTTCCTCCAGCCTCAGGCATACTTGTTTCCCTGATGAGCCTCCCTTTTATATTCCTGCAACCTCTTCTTTCCTTCTGCTGTTTCTGAGGATCTTATGTATCTGATTCTCAGTCAGTGTCAGCCAAGTTTCTAAGATCAGATAAATGATTCCTCTGGCTTCTGACAGTTTTCCTCAACAAATTTCAAGAGCAGATAATGACTCTCTCCAGGCTGGTGGATCTGAAGGAGAAGAGCACTCTGCTTGGTTGATTTTGCAGCCTGTACGTTGAGTGTCTGTTGCAGGTTTGATTGCAGGTGGCAGTGTGGCTGGTTGCTTTGTTTCTTGAACTCATCACAGCTAGATGTTGTAAAGAATACAAGTAGGATGAGACACAGCGCCTTCCCTCCAGGAGAGCCTCATGGCAGTAGGAGAGATCTTTGTGCCCACTTTGTATTCATATATTTGGAGACTATTAACATTGACCTGTGTTTCTAGATGTCCCCAAAAGAAAAAAGAAACTTCTACAACTGTGAATAATATGCAAATATCTGGCTTCCTACCTCCGTGGGTTACATATGCCTGTGGAAACTTTTGTCCCTCACCACTGGTTCCCTGTACTTCAGGACTCAGCTGATAATGATCCAACTATCACTATTGTCGAAAAATGGTACCCTAGGAAGTCCACAAGTGAAAGGGAATTTTAAGGGCGATGAGACCATATAAATACTTGGAACAGCTAATAGAGAAAATAGAGTGAAAAAAAAATTAGGAAGAAAGAAAAGAACAGGGAAAACTGAAAGCACCCAACAGTGCTCTTCGCTGATATCCCTCAGTGGGAACCAAGGATGAGGCTGCCCATGACATACCCTCTCTTTCCTCAGAAGGCCTGGGTCCTTGGTCCTGGGTGGGAAGCAGAGGACAGGGCATGGTTCTGATGGTGCCAAGGTCACCTTAGTGCCCTCTGCACAGCCAGCAAGGAAAGGAGAGGCTGGTACAACGCAAGAAAGGCTCTGTGGAAGCCGGGCCACTCCCCTGAGCCACCACTGCAGATTGTATCTCAGAACTAGACTTTCCAGTTACACACCTGACAGGGGGACGGTATGCTCTGCCGTGTGTGTTCACTGTCTTCTCCACAGTGAGCCTCCTAAGAGTTCCCCCTGCCCACATGCCTTCTTTATGCTGTTTACAAGTTTACAAAGGATGGCTACAACAATCACCCTCTTCGAGTCATAGAATCTTAGAATAAGGGACTTTGTTCATCATTTAGCAGAACCTCTCTATTCACTTATTCATTTATTTAAATAC